AATATCTGATAGGCAGGATGTGTTTTCATTGTTACAAATGGAACATCATGAACGCATCGTGATTCATCACAAAAACACTATGTCATTATAGATTGTAAAAGATTTATTGCTAACGACATATCAATGACATTGTGTCGTGAAGCATGGTGTAGCATGGGTAACAGTTTTCATGCCAGGTACTCATAGGTGGGCATATCTGCATGTGGGCGGACCTGCCCGGAGGTGGATAGAGGAGCGGTGCCTCAGTTCCTAAGACCATTGGCAACAGGTGCTTTCCGCTGCTCTTAGGCAACCCCTGTGAAAGGGTCGTTGGACCCCCAAAGCGGTCGCGACCCACAGGTTGAGAACCGCTGCACTAAATGGATAGGCTATCCCTTAGCGGGCTTGAGGGCCATGGGAACCAGCCCCTGCCTTCTCCTCCCCTTGTCGGGGCTCTAAGTCACTCCAGCCAGGGCCGAGTCTCCGTCTTCTCTCTCTTGCGGCTCTTGACCTCTGCGTACACACTGCTGCTGGCCTCCTGTCCCTGCACGTGCTCCAGGTCCTTCCCACTGAAGCAGATGGTCGCATAATAGAGGTCTTCCTCCTCCCTGGGGGAGGGGGCCGCCGGAGCCGAGGGGGGCCCTTCTGGGGGACTAGTTTCTTTCAATCCAGTCAGGTGAGCCTGAGTGGAAGGAACGAGGGAAAGGATCAGAGACGGAGGAGTGGACACAGGATGCAAGGGAAAACAAAGAAACAAAACACCCATCTCGCTGCCACCGAGTGGACGCCACGTCATGGAGACCCTGTAGGACGGTGTAGAGTTGCCCGTGTGAGCTCATGAAGCTGTGACTCGGTGAGGCAGCGAGATGTCTCTTTCTCCCGCTGAGCGGCTGTTGGTTTCCAACTCCCAACGGTGAGGTTAGCATCCCGCCCTCAATGTGCGAGACTTCCTTCCCTCGCGCTTCCTTCAAATATTCCACCCTTAGCGAGCACCTCCGTTGGTGGAATTCTCACCCTCCCCGCGCTGGAGACCCTGGTTCCATTCCTGCTCCCAGCACCTCATGTGCGGCCACCATCCAGCTGTCAGAGGATACAGGCCTGTTGCTAAGACGCCACACCGGTTTGGGGAGCAATTCCAGAGGAAGGAAGGAAGGAAGGAAGGAAGGAAGGAAGGAAGGAAGGAAGGAAGGAAGGAAGGCCGACCTGGTGACCTGCTTCTGAAAATCAGGCCGACCCACGGGTTGTAATGGTCTGATTCACAATGGAGTGGGGCGGGGCAGGGGGAGTTGCGCATGGGCCACTGTGAGCCAGGAGCCTAGGAAACTCTGTGGAGCCATCCTCCCACTCCCATGGGGTCCCCTGGGACAGAATCAACTCCAAGGCTACAAGTTTGGGTGGTGTGGCTTTGTCCTTTACATGAGGGGTGAAGGGTGGGGTGGAGGATGAGTTACAATGAAATTACCATTTCTGTCTATCTATCTATATCTATATCTATCTATCTATCTATCTATCTATCTATCTATCTATCTATACACATATATATAGACAGTGAGTTGGGTTTGGAAGCTTTCTTTAAACCAAACATATATATACATACATACATACATATATATATATATACACACACATATATATAGACAGTGAGTTGGGTTTGGAAGCTTTCTTTAAACCAAACATATATATACATACATACATACATATATATATATACACACACATATATATAGACAGTGAGTTGGGTTTGGAAGCTTTCTTTAAACCAAACAAGAAATGAAATCAAACTCACCGCCATCGAGTCAATTCCAACTCATAGCAGCCCTGTAGGACAGGGTAGAACTGCCTCTGTGGGTTGCTGGGGGGATAGTTTTGGCTTTACTCTTTGAAGCACAAATGCCGCCTTGCATTTTTTTGTGGTGGTAGAAACCATGTGTTTTCAACAAGGCATTTGAATGAAATGAAAAAAGAAATTGAGGTAAATATGGATTCAACTCATACCCTGCCATCAAATCAATGCTGACTCATAGTGACCTTCTAAGACAGGGCCGGACTGCCCCTGTGAGTTTCTGAGACTGCAATTCTTAACGGGAGTAGAAACCCTCCCAGGGAGCAGCCGGTGGTTTTGAACTGCTGACCTTGTGGTGAGCAGCCCAGCTCATAACCACTACTCCACCAGTGGCTGTGGTACCATTAGTGGGACACATACGTCCCTAAGAGTCTCTTATGGTACTTGGGCAGGTGGGATTCAGGAAGTTATACACCATCCCTCAAAATAGCAGCACACACTGAAGGGGGAATAGCAGCTTCCCAGTCAAACTCGGAGGTGGAAAAGGTAGGTGGGCACACAGATCACCCAAAATGAAAGGTAGGTGGGCACACAGATCACCCAAAAATGAATCTTTAGAGATCCTCTCTTGGCAATACTTTGAGGGAGGGATTCACTCAGCCTCCATGGCTCCAAACAGTCTGGATTCCATCATCATCGATTGCTTGGCCTTGATCATGATGGAACAAAATATAGTGCATTCAGACGAGCCCTGGTGAGGAGGCTGTCCTACGTCTCTAAAGAGTTACCGCCTCGGAACCCCATGGAGGCAGGTCCACCCTGTCCCATAGAGTCACTATGAGTCCGAATGGACTCGGTGGCAGTGGAGGAGTGATGTACTCCTTGGGCTGCTAACCTTAAAGTCAGCCGTTCAAAACCACCAGCTGCTCCGTGGGAGAAAGACGAGGCTTTCAATTCCCGCAAAGATTGACAGGCCTCAGAAACCCACCGGGGCCGCCCTACCTTGTCCTACAGGGTCGCGCTGTGAGTCGGAACGGGCCTCGATGGCAGAGAGCTTGTCTGCTTTGAGTCACCGCCTGAAGAGATGAGTTGTCTCGATCACTGAGATGTCTGGCAGCCCCTGAACATTTCCACCCGAGGCAAACGCCTCACTTGCCTTTCTGGGGTGGTGCTTTCCCCCCAAAGACACAGGACTTCAGGCTGAGGAGCCTGAGGTTCACTCTCTAGCTTGAGAGTCAGCAAAGCTCGGTCCGTGAGTCAAAGCTCCTGCTGCCCCCCACCCCTGCCTTTTCTTTATGGAGATAACTGTTGATGGAGACACAACCGTACTCACGTTCTCTCTTGTCTACGACCCCTTCCTTGCTATGTTGCCACGGCAACCAGATCTACTCTCTGGCCCTTTACCAGGAAACGTGGCCCCGTCCCTGATCTAGATAAATGCAAACGCATACGGGCAATGCAGAGGAACTAGTGAGATACAGGGTGAGTTCTGGGTTTTGTTTGTCTGTTTTTGGCAACCCTCCCGTGTCAGTTAGCAAGAGGCCTGAGAGGCAGAGATGTGAGGGAGCCAAGGAAGACCGTGAAGCTCAGTCTCCAGAGGGTCAAGGAGGTAGAGGGGAGGTGGGTGTTAATGGTTCCCAGGAGGGAAAATGGACATGAAATAAATGGACCCAAAGATGAAGTGCTTGGTTGCCAACCAAGAGGTCGGTGGTTCTCATCCACCCAGTGGCTTCCCTGGAGAAGGACGTGGCCATTGGCTCCCAGGGAGATGATCATCTAGAAAACCCTGAGGGTCCGTTGTACTCTGTCAGCATTGACCCAATGGGCCCGACACCAAAAACCCAAGAGAAGAAAACGGAGCTCTGGTGGCTCATGGGCTAAGTGCTTTGGCTCTCTCGCCAAGAGGCTGGCGGTTCAAACCCATCTCGCAGCTCCAGAGGAGAGACACCGCACCATCTGCTCCCATCAAGATGACAGCCCTGGAAACCCGGTGGGAGCAGCTCGACTCTGTCATATGGTGTCGTCATGGGCTGGGATAGACTGGAGGGCGCCCAACCACAGCAGAGAGAAGAAAAGAGGCTCAGCTCTTCAGCCTGGGAGACTGCCTGTCATCGGGAGATGGGAAATGCAGCAAGAGAGGTCGGCTTGAAGGCCTGGGAGATGAGGGGCCTGACCTTGGCTTGCAGCGGGGAGCTTGCAGGGGTGTACACAGGGGAGGCCGGATGGCAGTGAAGCCGTTCACATCACTCACCTGAGATACTGACCCCGGCACTGCTTCTGCATATTCCGGGCCTGTGTCCTCCGTGCCCACAGCCCGTCTCGCCGCTCTCTTCCTGAGGGACCTCACTCTGGGCAAAGTCACAGGGGAGCATGTCAGTCCGGCCAGATCAGAGGCAGTGGCCAGACAGACCTTCATCTAGCATCTGCTAAGGAGCCGAAGCCTTGGTAGAAGTGGGAGTTAAGTGGTCCACTCCCAGAGACCCCCGTGTTGAGAACGCAGGCACCCTGCCTCCTGCGCTAGGAGCCCAACCAGAGGTGGTGCATGTGGAAACCTCGAGCGTGTTCCAGCCACCCCCCACCCCCCAATTCTGCATGTGTTTAGAGCTCTTGCCACATCTAGGTTCCTTCCACTGTGGGTTCAGGATTAAATACCCAACCTTCACTTCCCACGTAAGACTCTCTCTCTCTCTCTCTCTCAACCCCCCCATCCTCCCACCCCCGAGACCAATGCTCACATGAGGAAGATGAAGAAGAAGGAGAACGAGATCATGGCTGTGACACTGGCTCCACCGATCGCACCTAGCGCCACTCTGTTGATGGAAAGCGCGCCCTCTGCAGACAGATTGGTAGCTGGTGAGTCACCTCCCAGACTCAGTCTGTGCTTCCTGACTCCCTGTAGGTCCCTAGGCCACTGAGTGGGTTCGACCCACCAACCTCTCGTTTGGCAGCCAAGCACTTAACCTTTGAGTCCATGCAAAATTGGACTTGGGTTGCATAGGGATGAACTGGTGACCTTCTCTAGACCACAGAGAACACAAGGGACACAAGGGCTGGAACTAAGGTAAGGTGAGTGTGACTTGCAACATGGGGCTGCATCCTGTCTTGGATGTGTTGTCAGGAGGAACCAGTCCCTGGAGAAGGACCTATGCTGGGTAAAGTAGAAGGGCGGTGAAAAAGAGGGAGGCGCTGGACAAGATGGACGGAACCAGTGGCTGCAGCCACGGGAGGATGGTGCAGGACTGGGCTGCGTTTCCTTCTGCCGTCGCTGTGAGTTGTAATTGGCTTGATGACACTTGAAAGCAATGATCTTGCCCAGAAGCAGGTTGTCAGGTCTTTCTCCCGTGGAACAGCTGGGTGGGTGGGCTCAAACCGCCAACCTTGTCACTCGCAGCTGAGTGCTTAACCATTAGGCTGTCATTGCTCCGAAAGCAAAACTAGGTTGTTGCCGTTAGATGCCGTACACTTGACTCCAACTTAGAGTGAACCCCTGCAGCACGGAATGAAGCACAAAGTAACCGAGACAGAGGGGGCAGTGGGCAGACAGACCAGGCTTCGTCAGAGCATCCGGGCTGACTTTGGACCATTCATCCAAGACAGATTGGTTCATCTGTCTGGCAACTCATAGTGTATTCAATATTCCTCACCATAATTCAAAAGCAGTGATCCCTCTTCCGTCTTGATGATTCACTGTCCTGTCACAATTACAGCCTAGACAACTCTATGGGGCAGCTTTACTCTGTCACGTAGCCTATGAGTCAGAATCTGCTGCAACAACACCAACACCAACACCTCTTGTTCATCGTGGAATGAATCTATTTTGTACTTACTCTGATTTTGTTTAAAAAAAAGAGAGAGAGAGAGAGAGAATTATTTTATTGTATATTGTCTCCTGATTGCTGAGTGATTTTTCGCTCCTCGTATTTTTATTTATTTATTTTTGGCTGGGTTCACCTTCTCTTTCTGTGGTAGTTAGATAATTTTGTGGCAACGAGACGCTCCTGGTGAGGGGAGGAGTCAGACCTGTCTATGGGGCCACGGCCTGATGCTATGTCCTTAGGGGTGTGGCCTTCTATGAGGAGGATCCTGGGGACTTCCTCCCTTCTCTTCCACTTTGCCTTCTTGCCTGCTGGGACTCTGCTGGAGCCCTTCCAGGTTTCCATCGACCTTGGATCCATTCAACTCTGCACCCACCGGCCTGTGCTCTTCCTCTTGCATCATTGCATGTGGCTGTGTGTATCTGAAGAGGGACTTATGGAATAGTATTGGACTTATAGATTTGAGTTGGACTGGGCTGGGGCGCTTTATGCTATACAATTACTTCTTGATATAAAACTCTTTCTTACAAATAGATAAGTGTCACTGGATTTGTTTCTCTAGTCAACTGGGCCTTACACATTCTCAATTCTTCAACAGAAGGGCTTTCTCTCTTCTAACATGCCCACCCTTCTCCCACAAGATCCACTTCCTTTCCCAGGCTTTCACTTTCCTAACCTCAGACCCTTGACCTGCAAACAACAACAAGAAATAAAAGGTGCAGTAAAGCTTTGGACTCCAGGGTAACCCCAACCTTTCCATTGAAGCTCAGGGAGCTACTGGGTGCTTGTGAGGCTATTTCACGTAGAGGCTCTCCCTCATCTACAAGTACAAAGAGTGATGCCAGACGCTCCTATACTCACGATGCAGGGCGAGGCTCAGGAAAACATGCTCGGTTCCCAAATGGTTCTGAGCTTGGCAGGCAAATTCTCCTTCGTTATGGGCATGTACTCGAGGTATCACCAGGACCCCAGCTTCCGAAGGCTGGGAGGGGCACAGGGTGAGGCCGCTCCAGACCCAGCTCAGCCTGCAGGGTGGGTTGCTGCTGGCAACACAGACCAGACGCAGGTACTGGCCTTCATGGACCTGCAGTGTTGAGCCGTTTTCTATGGTGTTGGATTCTAGAAAGAGAGAGAGGGGGTCAGAGAGAAAAGAAAACCAATTGAAAGAGGAAGTGTACAGAAAGCAGATGAGGAGAACAGGGACAGGGTACACAGATGAGGACAGAGAGGAAACGCTGCAAGAGAGACCCAGGGAAGAAGCTGAAAAGCCAAGCGAATGTGATACCTTATCCAAGCTGCGTTGTGGCCGTTTGGTCAACGGTTGGTCTAGAGCCGGGGTCGTCAAACTTTAGAGACAGAGCAACCAATCTATCCCTCATAGCAATGTAAAGATTATCCAAGAGAAGAAATATCTTTTGATTGGGGAGAAGCATATTTTCACCCCTGACTGGTGATCAGCCTCAATGGAGAACCATTGGGTCATTTCCTGCTCCCTCTCATGGATGCCCGGTGGGTTCTGGCTCATGGTGACTCCATGTGTGTAGCATGTGTAGCTCCAGAAGGTTCAGGACTATGATTGTCTGGAAGCAGATAAACAGGCTTTTCTTCAAAACACACCTCTGGCTGGGTTTGAACCACCAACCTTTCCGTTAGTAGCCCCGTGCTTAGCCCAGCAGCCAACCCAATGAATCCAATTTGGCTGTATCTCTCAACATCAGCGAGAGCATGCAATCCACCCCCTTGGCTTGGAGGTGTTTGCTTTGGGCTTTAGGCGTCCGTATATGTCACTAGACGTCGATGAAAAATACATGAGTCTTTCTTGCATTCATGTGGTGGTGGCAGTGGTTAGTAGAAACCCATCATGCCATCATTTCCCATCAATAAAAGATAGAGTCAAAGCCCATGTGAAATATTAAATCCAGGGTGCAGTATATCACTGATGAACCACATAACTATGCTCTAATTCTTTAATATTCGCCCCCCTCACTATTATGATTTTTATGTATTTTACCTCATTAATCATGTTAGGTTAGTGTATGTCCATTTGTATATTTAGGATGGTGCAGAACATGAAAGCCAAGATAGACAGTCCTTCAAAAACAGTAATGAGAGTAACAATTCCCTGAGGTTATGGGAAGAGACGAGGGGCAGGGATGAGGAAAGGGGACGGATAGGGAGCTGATAGCATAACCCCACTCGATGGGATGGGATCAAACAACAGAATTGTGTGTGAATGGATACATTGAATGTGTAAGATATGGGGGGGAAAGTTACTGGTAGGGTAGGGTGGCATGGGAGGGGATAAGAGGGAGCTGATATCAAGGAGTTCAAGAAGAAAGAAAATGTTTTGAAACCAATTGTGGTAGAAATTGAACAATACTGCCTGAGATGATGGAACTATGGAATGTTGTGCTATCTGTAAGAGCTCCCAATTAAATGATTGATTTTTTTTTTTATCCACGTGCGGAGTGGGAAATGATGAGTGATGTGAATGAGGACAGTCTTTAGCACTGAGGTTAAATGATCTCTTAGACACATTGTTTGGAAGACTCAGGACATGGAGCAATGTGTGTGAAACACAGGTCCCTTCTGGGGAGGAGAGCTGGCACCTGGGACAGACTGTGCTGTGCCTTTCTGATTTCAGCCACAAGTACTGATGACTTCTCCAAAAGTATCAGCGAAAAGAAAAAGATTAGGCTAGAGGGAGTCACCGGTGATTTCCTGACAGGGGACCCAGAAGGCTTGTTCTGTTGTTTGGAGAGGCATAAGGGGATCTCTCCAGGAGGGATGCTCCCACAGCCCCAAGGAAGACAGGTGGTTCCTACCTGTGCCATTTCCTCGGAAGACAAGTACGGTGACATTGCGTGGAGAGTCTAGGACAGAAAGACTACATCAGGGGGAGAGGAGGTGGATGTTGACCCTTCATCCCTAGGAGCTAGACACCTTGGGGTAATGGATGGAGGAAAACATCCCTGGCCCACCCTCAGTCCAGTCCATGATGACAACGACAACAACAACAACAACAAACTCACTGCCACTGAGTCGATTCTGACTCCTTGTGACCTTAGAGGACAGGGTAGAAAGAACCCCTGTGAGCTTCTGAGACCAGGTCTCTTTATGGGAGTAGAAAGCTGCATCTTTCTCCCAAGGAGTGGCCGGTGGTTTCGAATGGCTGACCTTGTGGTTTGCGACCACACACATAACTATTATGTCACCAGGGCTTCCTCCAGGACCTGATACCGGAGACCAAATCCTGACCCCTCCCCTCCCTGTGGGCTCTGGGAATCCTTCCCCAGAGGCCCAGGGACTCCCATTCAAGACTCACAGGACACGTTGAGCCGAACAGCCTTTTCCTTGGTCACACCTGTGCCGGGGAAGGTCACTTGACAGATGAGCTCGGTGCCTTGGTCCTGGAGCTGTGGGGTGAGGGTGAGCACTGAGGACAGGAGGCTGCTGGGTCTTCCGGGGAGAATGGAGACCCTTTTCCAGGAGAGGCTGGGCGGAGTTCCTCCTTCACAAGGCCACGGCACAGCACAGGTCAGATTGTAGGTCTGGCCAAGCTTCAGGGTCTCCGGAATGTGGATGTTAAGCATGTGAATCAAGTCTAGTGGGAGATCGGAGATGCGGGATCAAGAGGGAGGGATTCCAAGATGTGTCCTTGGGTGAAGCCTCAGGCTCCCACACAGCCCCTACACAAAGCCCCACATACTTTATTCAAAACTCCTCCTCGTAGGAGGATCATGGGTCCCATCCCAGCTGTCCCCTGAGCCCCATGATCCAGTGGCCTCCCCGGGAACCCATGCCTTACCTGTCACCTGCACAGAGAGCGTGAACCTTTCATAGCTATAGTTCGTTTCTCCTCTCTCCAACCGAAAAAAGTAAGTCCTCTCTTTGCCCATCTTGGCACCTGTGATGCTCAGGGAACAGTTGCCCTTCCGGGGGTCTCCAAGGAGTTGGAATACAGCTTGGGTTTTATCCTGTACTGGCCTTCTTGGGTGATTCGTGGCCACTAGAATCTTCTCGGTGCTGGACTTTTTCCAGAACCAGAATCCATAAGCTATATCTGAGTCAATCCATTTTTCCTTGCTGGAGGAAAAACTGCAGGGCACGTAGACGCACAGACCCCTCTCTACACACACTCGGGACTTCACAGTCAGTGACCAAGAGTCTGGATGGCCCTCAGCCCCCTCCATACTCCAGAGCAGGGACGGCAGCAGCAGCAACAACAGCATGCCTCGGCTGGAGACAGACGTTCCGTCTTGGGAAAGCCTGAGTCTCGGTGTTAGTCTTATGAGAAAACCAAGATGGAAAGATTGAGCAGAAGCCCTAACAGGAAGGTAGTGGTGAGGAAAGACTGTTGGCTGGTGACCCTCCTCTGAGCAGGAACCTCAGACTCAGACCTCGGCCGAGCCGGTGAACACTTGACACCCAATCATTACTTCCCCATGTTCTCTCACGAGACCCTAGACTGGTGGGGCAAGAGGTGCACCGAGTTCACAGCCAATGCAGATGCAGGCTACCAACTCTAGTCTCCCTGTTGATGATTGGGTATCAAAGTCAATAAGATATCAGGTCCCCTTTGACCTGACCACCCTCAGTCACAAGCTCCAAGGTTGTCGCCCTCCATCTAGAGTGGGGACCAACAGGAGATTGGAGTCCGAAGGCAGGGACATGAGAGGCAGAGCAACTAGGGAGCCTGGGGAGACAGCCTCCACACCCTCTCTCCCCGCCTCCTGCCTCATGGCTGGGTCCCCTTCTCTGGCTAATGAGATTCGCACAACACAGCTGGACTTTGCTTTCAGGGAGAGGTCATGTATCTTCTGGGCATCTGTAACTCCTCATGGCAGAACCTGTGAAAGGAACCCGCAGGCCTGGGCTGGGGCGGGGGCAGAGGCACCCCCACCAGTCAGAGGTTTTATTCTCAGGAGAAAGAAGCAGAGGGGACAGCGTCTGGACTCTCGGACAGTGGCGGAGGGGAATCGTGTTCCTACTCACCAAGGAGCTGGAGGAGAGAGAGCCCCGAGTCTAAGAAGTCCTTCACCTGAAGCTGAGATGAGCCCTCCAGGGACTTGGGAGGGAAGAAAGTGGGAAAGGGAAAAGGCAGGTCTCCCTTCCTCTCGGCCGGCCATCTCGGGGCCAGAAGCGATCCCAGCCAGCAGGGGTGACTGCTGCTGTCTCATTGGCCATGTGACTCATTGTTCCTGAACACGACATGGCTGCACAGCTTCCAGGGATCTGATTGGGTGGGTTCTGCAGCTCCCGGGAGTCCAGCTGCTCAAGATAGCATACGTAGTGAGATGGCCCATCCAGAGATGGGTGGGATTCAGTGGAAGCAAAAAGGTGCATCCGAATCTGGAGAAGATGATTTTTAATTCTGTGGTGGGAGCTCTCACAGTTAAGCACGTTGTGGCTCCTAACTAAAAGTCAGGTGGATCTCAGCTACACACAGAAGACGTGGAGGAAAGGCCTGCTGATAAGACGAACCTGATGCTATCGAGTTGATTCTAACTCATGGAAATGCTACACGGGAGAGTCCATTACTCAATGGGGGTTCCAAGACTTTAAGTGTTTAAGGGAGTTGAGGTAGTTAGTTTATTGTGCCAACCTGGCTGATAAACACATGTGGGGTTAGTTGAAGGACAGAGGGATAAATGGCTCAGTGAGCCTTGCCTTTCTAGTTCTCTCGTGTTTTCTGATGGTCACACCAGGGTGCAGCTGCCTTAGCAGTTCCCTGCTGCAGTTGGCAAGGCTGACTTCCTGCAAGACATCCCCGAGGAGAAGTCACATGGACCTACCCCGATGCAGCCCTGGGTGCTGGAGCAGCCGTGTGGAGACCCCTGCCAGCACTGAGATGCTTACACGCTCACAGATTCGGCTATCCTCCTGTGTTTGGCAGGCATCACTGCGTCTGTTTTGTGAGATGGAGGAGGATTTTGTGGATTGGTGTTGGACATATGGGTTAATGTTGGACTTGTGGGCTTGGGGAGCACTGGGTTGGGATATTTTCTTGATGTGCATTTAACCTTTATATAAAACTCTCTCTTATACATGAGTTTCTGTGATTTGTTTCTCTAAAGTACCAAGACTAACACATTATGGTACCTTGGGAGTGGGGTACTGGAGAAACAAATCCTAAGCTGGAGAGTAGATGTTTGTTTGACCTCTCCCTCATGGTACTTCTTCTTCGTTGTCTAGCCAGAGATCAGATAAAGCCACACTATTTACTCGGTACTTTCTGGGAAACATATGGGAAGTATGAAAATAGAAAGTTTCTAAGCCCACTTGTTTCAGCCATTAAAATATTATCTTTAGATGGGTTTAGGCCATGCCTGTAAAGAAAGCTTTGAAAATATATGCCCCACCCAGTGCTTTGGAGTACTCAGGAACCAGTAGTCTGTGTCAGAAGCTGGAAAAAATCTGGAACCATGAAGAAAACTCCTCTCTGGGACTGAATGTTAAAGGGAGCCTGTGAGCAGGCTAAAATGCTTGCTAGGTGACCACCTGGATATACTTGTTGAGGGGAAGTGGAAATGCAGCAATAAAGAGACGGGTTGAGTTTGGCTACTGACATCTGTGGACTTGGTTTACAGGAAAAGAAGGAGAAGAGAGCGGGTTGACTGGTCTAAGGTTCATGACCTAGCCTGAGGGGGCTAGGCTTGTTGAGTGTTGGTGAGAGCACATGGTCTAAAGGCAAGGCGACCAGTGGGCACCCTGTGGAGGCTGAGTGAGACGGCCCACATTGAGTTGACCAGAACCCAACCAGATGAAGATTTTTGAGCCTGTGAACTGGTGCATATTGTTGCTGACTTCATGGATGGCCTGTCTGGATTTGACTTTGTTTATGGATGCAGACTTCACAAGGTTCCAACTGGAATGAAGACTCTCCATGTTGAAAAATATGATTGTCTGTGGGGAACAGAAGGGTCTCTGTCATGCTGTCCCCCCCCCCCCCACCAAATGTATGCCAGAGTTAGCTGCTTGAGAATGACCGTACACTTGGAGGTCATCAAGAATGGATTGGGAGTCATTCTCACTGAGAGGTATCAGCTGTCTAGATCAAGCAGACACCACTGTTTATCCCACAACAAAGAGGGCCCATTCCTTTCTGTTATTGTTCCCTTGAAGGAGTGCCTGAAGGCAAGCCTGGGATCATTCTAGGATGACAAAGCTTATTGAGTCCAGGATCCACCCATCTTGCCACACATGCCCCCCTATTCCCTCCCTTTACTATTACGCATTCACCCCTAGGTCATCCCCCTCCTATTGCTTGTATTGCCTATGTTGCTATCCCTCCCTATGATGTAGGTTATTGTCTGCTATCAGGGGGCTTGCATGCCTCCCAGGATAATAATTCTCTGCTTTATTGTATGAGACACCAGAGTGAGCAAACCTGCCCTAGGATGAATTGTACTGCCCCTTTCTGTGACGTGTGATTCTGTAATCATATCCCCCTAAAGTGATATAATGTGTGATTAGCAATAAAGGAGAGGCTCCCTGGTTCTCGGGAGGGTGGCTGAGGAAGGCTAGAGGCCGCTGCTTCTGCTCTGGTGGTTGGGTTCCCTCTACGAGGACCATCAAGTGGGGCTGAGGTGAGCAATGCTACCATGAATTGCATCTGACTCCGTTCATTCCAACCTGTCCTCTAGCTCTCATGCTCTCTATGACTTTAATATAATATTTATATAGCTCAACCGTACAATTGTGCTTACTGAAACCATGGGTAGTAGTAGTAGTGGGGGCTGGCCCCTGGCTCCCCCCTACATTTGACTTAATACTACAATTGTCTTCTCAGAGAACTGGGTTGATGTAAGTGGGCAGTATATCAATTGGATACTCAAAATTGGGGGTATAAAGGCATGAAGTTATTGGCTTACAAACTTTCATAGGTGGGGGAACATATTCACAGGATTGTAGGATTAAAGTGTAGGTGTTACTTAATTTCAAT